TTGGGGGGTGAGGGACTCACGCGGGCGACGCTTGAGCTGCATCTGGCCACGCCAGGAGCAGCAGTAGCAGTAGAAAGAGCAGCAGCAGTAAGAGCAGCAGTAACAGCAGTACGGGCAGGGCAGTGCTCACCAGTGGCGAGAAGGGCAGGCGTACGACGGCGGCAACGGCGAGGCCGCTACCACTGTAGAGCGAGAGCTCCGCGGCAGCTGCAGGGGTGGCTGCTCCAGGGGCGGCAGTTGTAGGGGCGACTACTCCAGAGGCGGCTGCTCCAGGGGCGGCTGCTGCAGTGGCGGCTGCTCCGGGGGCGGCTGCTGCAGTGGCGGCTGCTCCAGGGGCGGCTGCTGCAGTGGCGGCTGCTCCAGGGGCGGCTGCTGCAGTGGCGGCTGCTCCAGGGGCGGCTCGGCTGCTGGGCGACTCGGCGGCTCAGCTGCTGGGCGGCTCGGCGGCTCGGCTGCTCGCTAGGGGCGGCGACGGGGCCGGGTAGGGGCAGCGACGGGGCCGCTAGGGGCGGGGAGCGGCGACGGGGCCACTAGGGGCGGCGACGGGGCCGCGTAGGGGCGGCTACGAGGCCGCGTAGGGGCGGCAACGGGGCCGCGTAGGGAGGGAAGCGGCGACGGGGCCGCTAGGGGCGGCGACGGGGCCGCGTAGGGGCGGCTACGAGGCCGCGTAGGGGCGGCGACGGGGCCGCGTAGGGAGGGAGGCGGCGACGGGGCCGCTAGGGGCGGTGACGGGGCCGCGTAGGGGCGGCGACAGGGCCGCGTAGGGAGGGAGGAGGCGACGGGGCCGTTAGGGGCGGCGACGGGGCCGCGTAGGGGCGGCGACGGGGCCGCGTAGGGGCGGCGACGGGGCCGCGTAGGGAGGGGAGCGGCGACGGGGCCGCTAGGGGCGGCGACGGGGCCGCGTAAGGGCGGCGACGGGGCCGCGTAGGGGCGGCTACGGGGCCGCCTAGGGAGGGGAGCGGCGACGGGGCCGCTAGGGGCGGCGACGGGGCCGCTAGGGACGGCAACGGGGCCGCGTAGGGGCGGCGACGGGGCCGCGTAGGGGCGGCGACGGGGCCGCTAGGGGCGGCGACGGGGCCGCGTAGGGGCGGCAACGGGGCCGCGTAGGGAGGGAGGCGGCAACGGGGCCGCTAAGGGCGGCGACAGGGCCGCTAGGGGCGGCTACGGGGCCGCGTAGGGGCGGCAATGGGGCCGCTAGGGGCCGCAAGGGGCCTGGAAGGGCGGCAACGGGGCCGCTAGGGGCGGCGACGGGGCCGCTAAGGGTGGCGCGAGGGGCCGTGAGAGGGGCCTCTAAGAGAGCTCGACAGAAGGGCGGCCCACAAGGCGCGCCTCGGGCAGGAGCGACTGTCGCTCCGGTCAGAAAAAAAGGTTTCAGTGGTGGGCCCAAGGAAGCGTTCCCACTAGGGAACCTGCTCTGATACCATGTGAAGAAATGAGGAATGAATTGACTAAGGGAAAGTTGGGTACAAAAGCAAACCCTAGAAAACTGTACCCCATATGTGCTACCCCACTATAGCCTACAGTAGCTATGTCATATAAATCTGACAGGGGTATCGCGACTTGACTGTTACCCGATTCAGTGCTCTGTAATCGATGCACATGCGAAACCCCCCGTCTTTTTTCGGTGTGAACAGTATCGGTGCGGCGAACGGTGACGAGCTCGGTCGGATGAATTTTTTCTCTAACAAGTAGTCTAACTGCTTTCCTCAGCTCATCGAGCTCGGGCTGTGTCAGTCGGAACTGTCGCTGTACAGTTGGCTGTGCCCCGGGTTCTAACTCTATGCGGTGGTCGTGTGCTCGCTGAGGTGGCAGTCCCTCCGGTAAGTCGTCGGGAAAAATCCCCGGGTACCGTTTCAATAGCTCCTGCAGTTCGGGCGGTACCGCTGTCAGCAGTTTCCGAAAATCGCTCGGCTGCTCTGCTTCTCCTACCAATGCTATATCCACTGCGTACACGTCAGCTCCAGCGGCGACAGCCCGTTTCATCGTGATAGCGTTGACGTGGACCGTTGAAGACTCGGGCGACTGCAAGCGAGGTAGCACGATCCAGTTACCGCTACTTCGCACAGTGCAGCTACCCGTCGTCCAGTCGATTCGCGGGTTATACCGTCGCAGCCAATCACGTCCTAGTAAAATGTCGTGCCCATCCAATGTCGTCGCGAGCATTTCCTGTGTAAACCCAAAATTCCCCCCGCAGCGGACCTTTACTTTCTCCACCCTCTCCCGTATGGCCAGCGGCGTTCCATCCACTAAGCGTGCATCTATTTCCGGTAAACACCGACTAAGTGTCAGTTGCAGCTTTCGTGCGGTTGCGGTATTAACCAAGCTGTGGCTTGCTCCTCCGTCTATAAAGATTTTCACAGCTGCTCCCTGTACTTTCCCGTGAATCAGTACTGGGCAATCCATCGCTGTACCCTCCTTATTCATCCGAGCCCGATCGATAGCGTGAATCGGTACTGTGACTCGGTGAGGGTCGGTGTGGTTGGGCGAGCAGGCAGTCTCGTCAGTAGTTGGCCCGATTCCTACTGACTGCTGGCGTTTCCCTGCCTTAGAGACTCCCTCCCCTGCTCTGCTCCGCGGCGCCTCAGCTCCTCTGGGCACTCACTCTTACGATGGCCCGGCCTATTGCAAGCGAAGCAGCGCCCCTTAAACGGCGCGGCAGCTGCGTTCGTCGCAACAGCGTGTACAGTGGCGTGCTCGATTGGTCCCCGAGGGCGATGTCCGTAGTAGGACCCCGGTCTCGGGCGGCGTAAAATGTCGATTTTCTCGGCGAGCGCGAGGATCTCGTTGAAATTCGAGAGTCCGCGTAGCATGATTTCGTGCGAGATGTCCGGCTTCAGCCCTCCGACGTAACGGTCCACCCGCTCCGCTTCGTGCATATAGCCGACTTGCTCGCATAATGCGAGAAAACCGCTCGTGTAGTCTTGGACCGATTCGAGCTGCCGCCTAGTACGCAGTTTCTGACGCGCCGAAATAGAAGCCGCGATCGGCTCGAAGCGCGCCCGAAGCCCTGCGCACCATGCATCCCACGTGCTGTATTGGGCGGTTTCGCAGAATGAACTCCAGGTGACAGCTGGGCCCGTGGACCCTTCCTCTTGTGACGGTGGCTCGTAGGCGCGTGGCGACGTCACGATGACTCGCCACCAGTCCATGGCGGGGCCCCTCAGCAGCGAGACGGCGTATCTGATCTTCGCTGCGTCCGACTCGACGTAGTTCGCGTCGAAGAAGACGTTCATCGTGAAAACCCACGATTGAACCGTCGGACCTCCACGTTGGCTCGGATCGAAACAGGGCGGGCGCTGCGGCTTGAGTGGCATTGGTGCCATGATGTCGTTGTTGCCACTTGTTGCTGCAAACTCCACGTGCCGACGGGCTTCGCGAGGCCCACGCGGGCTTGGCGCGGCCCGATTTCTCTCCATGTCAGGCATCGATTGAGCGGCGCCATCACTGGCTGCGCCTGAGCGCTGTCCCACGCTGTCGTTTTGCGTCGGTGTGCCGGATGAGATGACGATTGGTTCTTCTGATTGCGCAGGTGCATTTGCGGGTGCTTGTGATGGAGCTGGTGCATTCACCGTTGATTGCTGGCGGGCGGAGTCACGTTCCGCCGTGAGTGTCGCGATTTCGAGTGCCGAATCTTCGAGTTGACGCACGAGACGGTCGAGCTGCTCCTGCGTCAATGTCGCAAGATTAATGTCGGCCATGGTGGGGGTGTCGGGCAAACTCAGCGGGAGCCTCTGTCGTGGCCGTGCGTGCTTACGAGGGAGCACTTCGAGCGGCGGTGCTTGTTCGCTGAGAGACGTCTACCCCCCCCAAAAAATTGAGATAGTGGGGAAGCGAAGGTGTGGGTGCGGCCCGAGAAGAGATCGTAGGCTATGATACCAAGTGTTACGAGTGCAATTGAGTGAGCGAGCGAGAATTGCACTATCGAAGCAAGAGTACAATGAGCGAAGGCATGAGCGAAGAATATATAGCGAAACTACAGTGGTAACGGTAATGTGTGAAAAGTGGGGTGCGCGACGGGCCTAGTGCCGAGGTTGGGAGATGTCGAGGCGGAGGTCCGGAGCGCGGGTTACCAACCGAACCGTGAGGTTGGGTCGCGTCGTGAACGGTGGCGGGAATGGTGTCGAAGCGAGTGTCGCGAGTGGTAACGGATTACTGTTGGGTGCTGCTGGCGGGCACAGTGGTGTACGCGCTGAGCAGGGACGCGAAGTAAGGAAAAGGGATTTTCCTTACAATATGACTCGAATTGTCCTTTAAAATCCGGGGGTCAAGAAAGGCGAAACTGGTTCATCCTTCCTAAGCTTGGTTGGGTGTAACCCTGTTTCCAGCTGAGCATTGTTTGACCCCCACAAAGAACGTCGCCTTCAACCACCAAACGAAAATACTGTAGCAACGACAATAGCCCAATTGGGTTTCATCGCACAATTTGGTCGCTCAACACCAACCTGAGTAGGCAAGAGAGCACAGGGGAGAGAAACTTGTCCCAAAACGCCTGTGCAAAGTCCCGAGTTCTAAGAGCCACTATTAGACGCTCGAAGCCCGCCGACTAGCCAACATACCGCATTGCGGGCGCGCGCAAATCTCGAAATACAAAAGGTACGAGAGTGCGAAAGTCGTGGGAACCCGCAGGGCAATGCGACGTCGCATTTAGGTCACGATTTGACCTGCAGGGTAATGCGACGTCGCATTTAGGTCACGATTTGACCTGCAGGGTAATGCGACGCCGCATTTAGGTCACGATTTGACATGCAGGGCAATGCGACGTCGCATTTAGGTCACGATTTGACCTGCAGCGCAATGCGACGTCGCATTTAGGTCACAATTTGACCTGCAGGGCAATGCGACGTCGCATTTAGGTCGCAATTTACCCTGCAGGGCAATGCGACGTCGCGTTTAGGTCACGGTTTGCCCTGCAGGGCAACGCGACGGCGCCCTTAGGCCACGATTTGCCCTGCAGGTCAACGCGACGGCGCCCTTAGGTCACGATTTGCCCTGCAGGGGCAATGCGACCTACGGGCAGGCGGAGGTGCATGGGCAGAGGGGATCGCGTGGGCAGGGAAAAGCACCTGGCTGCCCTCCGCCTCTCACCCCCTCCGCATCTCACCCCCTCACCCGCTCCGCATCTCACCCCCTCTGCCTCTCTCCGCATCTCACCGCCTCCGCATCTCACCCCCTCCGCATCTCACCCCCTCCGCATCTCACCCCCTCCGCATCTCACCCCCTCTGCCTCTCTCCGCATCTCACCGCCTCCGCATCTCACCCCCTCCGCATCTCACCCCCTCCGCATCTCACCCCCTCCGCATCTCACCCCCTCCGCCTCTCACCCCCTCTGTATCTCTCCCCCTCCGCATCTCTCCCCCTCCGCATCTCACACCCTCCGCATCTCACCCCCTCCGTATCTCTCCCCCTCACGCACTTGTCCTCTCACTTACCTCCACCTCTATCTCACCTGGCCTCTCACTCGCCTCTTCATCCCACTCACCTCCACCACTCACCTACCGCTGCCTCCCACTCCCCTCCGTCCCCTCATAACCCCCCCCCATCCTACTCAGCAACCTGTTCCCACTCCCCCCTTTTTGCTCGTACTAAATCACTCCTCCCCTGCCATCTGAACTCCCACTCCCCCATTGTACCCTTCCTCTCTCCCCACGGCAGGGGGGGTAGCTTGTGCACAGGGCGATGCATCGGCAGGGGGGGTAGCTTGTGCACTGGGAGATGCATCGGCAGGGGGGGTAGCTTGTGCACTGGGAGATGCATCGGCAGGGGGGGTAGCTTGTGCACTGGGAGATGCATCGGCAGGGGGGGTAGCTTGTGCACTGGGAGATGCATCGGCAGGGGGGGTAGCTTGTGCACTGGGAGATGCATCAGCAGGGGGGGTAGCTTGTGCACTGGGAGATGCATCGGCAGGGGGGGTAGCTTGTGCACTGGGAGCTGCCACCCATTCACATCCGCCTCTCATTCACCTCCGCCACCCACTCACATCCGCCTCTCACTCCCCTACGCCAACCACTCCCCTACGCCGCCCACTCCCTTCTTCTTTGACTTCGCAGTTCTCACCCTCCTCTTCTTCACCCCCCTTGTCATCTTAACTTTTCACTCCCCCCTGTGGCAGCTTGTGTTTGCAGCATTTCGAAATGGTAAGTTGCTGATTGTATTGCACACAGATGGCTTCTTGTGATATTGTAGTTAGGGATCAGGTGTAAGGTACTTCAGCCCGTCGCAATATTGTGTACATATAATTTGTTGATTCGATGTAACAGTTTGTATCAACCAAACACAATTTGGGGCACCATCACCTTGCTAATAATTTTTATTATTATAAAAAAAGAACAGCAACAATGACAAGAGGTTGTAATGAATCTAGATTCCTTAGCGCAACTCCCTGCATTACGCTGCTGGAAAACTTCCACTCTTGACTTGGGGTATCGATCTGCGATACTCTGTCGCAACTCTGGGTTTGTGCGATACTCAGAAAGAGTCAGGTAACGCCCACGAATTCAACTCCTTTCGCTGACTCTCGCATTCAAAATCGGCAACCTCTGGGTTCGCGGGCCAATCAAGGCACTAACCCCAATCAGCCTTCCTAAGCTTGAAAGCTGTGGCCCGCGGGTTTTAACGAAACTGCGAACTTCGAGAGTCGTGTGTCGTGGGTCACGATTTGTTCCCGCCTGCCATGGCGGGTTTTGCGAGACGTGATGTGGCTCGCACAGCCAGTGACGACATGGTAACACTTGGTGGTGCCCGGAGGGATCGCACGAAAGTAGTATAATAGCGCCCAACTGACACAAAATCCCGATGATGTCGCCAGTAAAATCTCTTCCAACTAGGCATCACAAGTCGAGGCATCTCGGCAGTTCAATGTCACAGTCGAGGCAATAATAATTCCAAGCCCAGCTTATCTTCAGCGGTGATTATTCGTCGATCCGTTCTATGCTTACTCAAGCTAGCATTAACCTAATTTGCCACGAGCAGCCGTTCAGCTGGCAACCCGCCATTCCTCCCACCGCCCGTCGGCGGCGCAAAGGGCGGCGTCTCCCATTGCGACCCTGAGAGAGACCTTCACCCTGCCCTTGTCGCTGCAACTGCCGGAATCTCTTCCCCAGCTACCGCCCCTCCCGCAGCTACCCCCCCTGCCGCAGTTACCGCCCTTCCCGCACTTACCGCCCCTTCCGCAGTTACCGCCGCTCCCGCCGCTTCATCTACCGCATCTTCCCCGCAACCTCCAGGAATGGCGCGACAACTTCCAATGGCCCCCCGCCGGCTGGGACTGGGCGGAGCTCCGCCGCATGCTCGCCTCCGCGCTGCACGCGGAAGGCTCTGCGGCCGGCCCGCTTGCCGCATGGGCGGCGGCGGCGGCGGCGGCGGGTCTGGACTTGAACGCATGGGGCCTGCTAGGGCTGCTGGAAGATGGCGCGGGGGAGGGTGAGGGGCGGCGGTGCGCGGACGGGGAGGGGGACGCGGTAGATCGGCGCTTGGCGGCGTTTCGTCCCCACGAGAACCCGCTTCTTCGCGACGCGCTGCTGAAGCAGATGCGCGTAGTAGCCGCCGCACGAGCCGCTGGCACGCCGATAGCTGGAGCAGATGCAACCGTTGATGTCTGCATTAGCGAGTTTGAAGGCGTGCACTATCGCGTACAGGTGGAAGAGACGGATCCCGGCACGCTCCTCTTATCCATAGCGATCCCGCAGGCAGGTCCCGAGGTGATGACCAGCGCCGGACTGCCACGTGGCGCAATCGAGGCCGTCCACCTCGGGTACTGGCAGATCGCGACCGTTCTGCCGACGCCAGAACCCGGATATAATCTCACGCTAGTAGTTAATCTCGCGCGTCTCCCGGACCGCGATTCCGCCCAGAGAGTCATTGCCTGCAAGCTCGCGCGACTGCGCTCGTTCGTCATGGGCGCGCCTCTGCGCGCTGCGCTGCTTCCGCTCCGCGCGGGCGGAGTGATAGGCGTCGGCGGAGCAGCGGGCGGAAGCGACCTGGGGGAAGCTGTGGCGCGCGGATTGGGGGCCGCGGGGGGGGAGTCGTGGGGAGGCGCGGGGATGCTGACGAGTGTGGTGCACCGGAAGGGGCGGGTGATGTTCGTGGTGTCGCGCGGGGCGAGTGTGACTATAGTGATTCCGATGCGCTTTAAGGACATGGACGATGCTGTGATCGCGACTCAGTTCCTGCTGGTACTATGATGTTGGCATGGCGGGCGAATGGCGCATGGCACATTGTCGAGGACGCATGGCGCATGGCGCATGGGGCATGGGGCATGGTGCATGGGGCATGGTGCATGGGGCATGGCGCATGGCGCATGGGGCATGGTGCATGGGGCATGGTGCATGGGGCATGGCGCATGGGGCATGGTGCATGGGGCATGGCGCATGGGCCATGGCGCATGGGGCATGGCATGGGGTGTTTGCAAGGGCCGTGCACATGCACATACAGCACGCGTTTGAGACCCTGGAGCAGCAACCACACACACTGACCTCGCCAATCCCCCCCACACACACACACCACACACTTTAGGTCATCACAGTTCCTTCATTTCTCTCGCCATTCACCTAACGTCCCCTATCCTGCACCCCTCTCTCCTCCACCTCCCCTCCCCCTCCCCTTCCGCCTCCCCCTCCCCGTTCCGCCTCAATTCCCACCCGCGCGCCCAACCCCCGCGTCCCCTTCTCCCAGGAGCTCGAGGCCACGCGGCGCGAGGCGGACGCGGCGGCCAGGCGCGCCGCGGCCGCCGCCGCAGCCTACGCCGCCGCCACTCTGGAAGCCGCCAAGGCGCACGCGCAGGCGCTCCTCGACCCGCGCGCGCCCCCGCCCCCGCCCCCGCCCCCTCCGCCCCCCCAAGACCCGCTCGCCCCCGTAGCATCCGCGCCAGCGTTCTCCTTCTCGTATGTTTGCCCGGAGGAGGTGCGGGAGGCGCCTATTCAGTACCGGTCCGCGAATGCTGGGTTTGCGTGCTTCCACGTGGCGAGGAGGCACTTGGAGGGGGGAAGCGGGGGAGGCGCAGGAGGCGGAGGAGGGGGCGGAGGAGGCGGGGGAGGGGGCGGAGGATGCGGGGGGGAAGGGGGAGAAGCGGGGTGGCGGTGGGAGCGCGTGGTGTGGGGGCTGGAGAGCTTTCACGGCGTGGTGGCGAATCATGTGCGGTGGAGCAAGGTGGCCATGCGCAGACGCATGCGCGCCTGGGAAGAGCGCCTGCACCAGGTGCGCTGGGGAAGGGGAGACGGGGGGAAGAAGGGCAGGGGTGTGGGGCTGGTAGGGAAAAGGGATGGATGCGCGCCTGGGAAGAGCGCCTGCACCAGGTGCGCTGGGTGAATGGGAGGGGAGAGGAGGAGAAGGGGAGGGGGGAGAAGGGGCGAGAAGGGGAGGGCGTGAGGAGAATAGGGGAGAGGGAGGCAGTATTTTGGAGGATGGAGGGAGGGAGGAGGAGTGCAAGTGATTGCATGGGAAGAGATTGCATGGGAAGAGATTGCATGGGAAGAGATTGCATGGGAAGAGATTGCTCAACACCCTAGTTAGAATCTTTACTATTACATTCATATATACTCATTCTCTCCTCCTCCGTTTCCCCCCATTTGTTGCCCTTTCCCCCACGTGCCCCTTTTTTGCTTCCCCCCTTCCTTCTCCCCTTCCTCCCCCCGCTTTTCCAGCGCCTTCCCCAACCACCCCCGCCTGTGATGCGCCACTCCCCCCACAAGGAGTCCCCCTCACTCCCCCTTCCGCTGCTGGCGTGCGCGGATGATGAGGAGGACGCGGAGGAGGGGGAAGTGTGGGGGGAAGGGGGAGCGGATGGGGGGATTCATGGGGCGGAGGCTGCAGCACTGGCGGAAGAAGTGGCAGGGATGATGCGGGGAGGAGGGGGGGAGGAAGGCGGGAAGGGGGAGGGGTCGAGAGGGGGGCGGAGAAAGGGGAGGAGTGGGGGAAAGGAAGGGGGGGATGGGATGGGGAGTGGGAAGGACAGGAGGTTGAGAAGGAAAGGATTGGAGGCGGGTAGGGAGGGAAGGAGGAAGGGGATAATGGAGGGATATGGGATGGGGGGGGATCGGGAAGGGCCAAAAAGACAGAAATCAAGTGTGGGGAAGAATGAGAGGGAGAAAGGGAAGGAGAAGGAGAAGGAGAAGGAGAAGGAGAAGGAAGGAGGTAAGAGCAAAAAGAAACTTCTGAAGGGAAAGAGTGGGAAAATGGGGAAGAAGGGAAAGGGGGATGTGGGTGGGAAGAGTGGGAAGGAGAGGAAGGGGAGGGATGGAGAGCCATGGATGGTGGAAGGGCGTGACGGTGAGGTGGAACAGGATTGGTGGGGGATGGGTGATGCTACTCCTGCTGATGCTGATGCCCCTGCTGCTGATGCTCTTGCTGCTGATGCTGCTGATGGGGTTGCACCTGATGGTGCTGGTGCTGCCGCTGATGCTAGAATGTCTGAAGCTGATGTTGACAAGAGGGATGAAGACCATGGGAAGGGGTCGAGAGGGCTTGAGTTGAAGGCTGGTGGACTGAGGGAGACGAAGGGAGACGAGGAGGAAGAAGAGGAGGAGAAGGAGAAGGGAGAAGAGGAGGAGAAGAGAAAGGAAGGAGATGAGGTGAAAGAAGCGGCAGGAGAGGAGAAGGAAAAGAGAGGAGAGAAAGTGAAGGAGAAGGGAGGAGAGGCGGAGAAGGAAAAGGGAGGAGAGGAGGTGAAGAAAAAGGGAGGAGAGGAAGAGAAGGAAAAGGCAGGAGAGGAGAGGGAAAAGGGAGGAGAGGAAGTGAAGGAGAAGGGAGGAGAGGAGGAGAAGGAAAAAGGAGGAGAGGAGGTGAAGGAAAAGGGGGAAGAGGAAGAGAAGGAAAAGGGAGGAGAGGAGGTGAAGGAAAAGGGAGGAGAGGAGGTGACGGAAAAGGGAAGAGAGGAGAGGGAAAAGGCAGGAGAGGAGAGGGAAAAAGGAGGAGAGGAAGTGAAGGAGAAGGGAGGAGAGGTGGAGAAGGAAAAGGGAGGAGAGGAGGTGAAGGAAAAGGGAGGAGAGGAGGTGAAGGAGAAGGGAGGAGAGGAGAAGGAAACGGGTGGAGAGGAGGCGAAGGAAAAGGGAGGAGAAGAGAAGGAGAAGGGAGGAGAGGAGGTGAAGGAAAAGGGAGGAGAGGAAGAGAAGGAAAAGGGAGGAGAGGGGGTGAAGGAAAAGGGAGGAGAGGAGGTGTCGGAAAAGGGAGGAGAGGAGGAGAAGGAAAAGGGAGGAGAGGAGGTGAAGGAGAAGGGAGGAGAGGAGGTGAAGGATAAGGGAGGAGAGGAGGTGAAGGAAAAGGGAGGAGAGGAGGAGAAGGAAAAGGGAGGAGAGAAGGTGAAGGAAATGGGAGGAGAGGAGGTGAAGGAAGCAGGAGGAGAGGAGAAGAAGGAAAAGGAAGAAGAGGAGGAGAAGGAAAAGGGAGGAGAGGAGGTGAAGGTAAAGGAAGGAGAGGAGGTGAAGGAAACAGGAGGAGAGGAGGAGAAGGTAAAGGAAGGAGAGGAGGTGAAGGAAACAGGAGGAGAGGAGGAGAAGGAAAAGGGAGGAGAGGGGGAGAAGGAAAAGGGAGGAGAGGAGGAGAAGGGAAAGGGAGGAGAGGAGGTGAAGGAAAAGGGAGGAGAGGAGGTGAAGGAAAAGCGAGGAGAGGAGATGAAGGAAAAGGAAGGAGAGGGGGTGAAGGAAAAGGGAGGAGAGG